CAATCCAGTCTTGCTTTAAAAAAAAAAAAAAACAGTTGGATGGACTGCAACAAAATGGAACAGAATGCAAGAAACCTAAAAAGACGTTTTGCAAAGTTTGAACTGATTGACACACTGTGTTAAAAACATGGTGCCCATAGAGCGAGACGCTAAAAAACAGTGAGACGTCAAATAGCACAGATGGAATGTCTGAAGTTCTGTTCGAATGGTCCATTGGTCTACATCAGGCAGGTTGACAACTCTGTTGCATGGATTGCTGTGGACTTAAACCAGTGAAATACTAAAGACCCCGATATACTTCACATGAAATCGAAGAACGAACGGATGTGACGTCAATTCGAACACAATTCGAACAAAATCCAGCCAAAATGAAGTTCGTTTTGGGAGTTCGAAATGGCTTGCCAAAGCGAACTTTCCGCAAAAGTTCTTTACGGCTGCAACACATTTCGTACTACCATTGGTCCCTGACGATTATGTCATAGGAGGTGTGCGCGGAGGCTCCGCCTTCTTTCAAGCAGAACTCTCCTCTGGGTTCATTTGGTCTCTCGAGTCCTTGGAGGTGAAAATAAAAGTTGTGCTTCTGATGAAACGACATTGACACTGTTTTTCATGTTTAATACTGCCGATTGCTTTTAAGCAATATATTTAAAGGATAATTCCCCCAAAAATGAATCCTAGGCGTATATGACTTCCTTCTTCCAGATGAATCCAATCGCAGTTATATAAAAAAAATTGACTTTGATTTTCCAAGCTGTTTAATGGCAGTCAGCGGGTGTTGCAGTTCATCAGTCCAAAAGAAATGAAATAAAGAGCATGCATCCATAATAAAAAGTGCCTCACACGGCTCCGGGGGGTGAACAAAGGCCTCCTGTAGCGAATCGATGCATTTTTGTAAGAAAAATAACCATATTCAAAACGTAATAATCACTTTAATCTAGCTTGCGCCAACAGTTGTACACGGAAGCAGCTCCGGTGAGTCTCGTGAAAACCAACGTTTGTTTATAGGAGCAAATGAAGCAAAGTTTCCTTACTTTAGCTAAGGAAAATCAGTCTCCTCTTCGCTTATATCGAAATCCTCCGACATTCTTCTTTACAGATCCTCGTTTTGTACCTCTAATTTGTGACCGTTGTTTTGTTTTGATCTCTCCCCTGCGCTTTCGCGTTCGTCACTTCTGAGCGGTGCATGCGCAACGCCGACATCTTACATCATCCGCGCGGAGCTGCTTCCGTGTACAACAGTGAGTGCAAGCTAGATTAAATTGATTATTACATTTTAAATATGGTTATTTTTCTTACAAAAACGCATCGATTCGCTACAGGAGGACTTTGTTCACCCCCCGGAGCCATATGAGGCACTTTTTATTATGGATGGATGCGCTTTATTTCACTTCTTTTTGGACTGATGCACTGCAACACCCGCTGACTGCCATTAAACAGCTTGGAAGATCAAAGACAATTTTCAATATAACTCCGACTGGATTCGTCTGAAAGAAGAAAGTCATATACACCTAGGATGCCTTGAGGGTGAGTAATTCATAGGCTAATTTTCATTTTTGGGTGAACTAACCCTTTAATAAAGTGCCATGTAAATACACTTGACTTGACTTCATGGGAGCGCTAATTTGCAGAGCTCATACAAACATAACCATGTTGCTATGATCAGATGATTTTTATTAAGAAATGCTTGCAGTTTTCTCCATTTTTGTTGTGTTTTTGTTACTGAGAGGAAAGTACGCAGCACATATTTACATATGAATTTAAACATTGCTTTCATCAGAGATGTTTGCTAATATTTTTAACTTTTGTTTTACCCCTAAATGATGAACAAAAAGGTACTTCGCTTTGAGTATACGGGGCCTTAACAGTTCTGAAGAGACTGAAGTTCTAAAGTCACATTTTATTTTACTTTTCAAAGATATAATCATCTGAAACAATAATGCAATAAATTATTTGAACCCTTAAATGCATACCATCGTGTCTTTAGCGACACGGGACATCATTCTCTAACCTCTCCCTCCTTAATTTTTTTAAGTTAGACATCAACTTTCTTAGTATTCCTCAATCTATTAATTATAAACAATATAACAAGAAAAAAATAGTAAAATATAAAAGAATGCCCGTTTTCTGATACATTTTTTTCAAAAGTGTATAGGGTCGCTAGAGACCCATGGTATGTAAATGTGTAAGTATTTTTTCCTGCGCAACTATGTTTACATATCTGATGACTCAATATGTGCAATGCATCTTTTTTTCCTCAAGGTGGCACTGTTTGATACACGATGACGTGACGTTTCACTCATAATTACTGCAGGCATAAAACAAACAAATATCATTAACAAAAATGTAAGTGGTTTGAATGGCTTTACTGCAGAGCAATTACTATACGAAATGAAATATAAATGTCACTGCCATTTGACGCTGTATGTGATGAATAAGCTGCCAGTGATCAAAATATTGAATATGAAGTCATTGAAAATGATAGTTTTGAGAATAGGTTGAGATCGTGAATGTGAGGCAGATGTTGAATATACTGTGGAAGTGCGCTCTGACGATGACAGTGATGGTAAAATCATCTGCTCAAACTGAACCCTTTTAAGTTTCAAAAGGTAACGATATATGCTTCATTTTATTCTTCTGTAATTGTTCTTAAAATAGCAAGAGAGTTTTTTGCTATTGCAGCAGTTAGAGACCTCAAAGATCCTCTTCTCGCACATGAGGCTGTGGATAGATATTAATATGTAGAGTAAATGGACAGTTGACACAAAACATAGTCATTAACTTTTTTCCTCCAACCATTCCGGTAAAAATATGTATGAGACATACATACTTTAGCTATATTGCTATATTTAAGACTTTCTACTTCAACATATTGTCCTCCAGTTAGTGTGACAAATGCATTTTTAAAAGCAGAATCATTCCACTTTGTCTGTCAGTTAACATGGCCACATTAACTGGATGCATAGTAATTATAAGTGAATAAGCTAAATATTAGTGGTTTTAAATGGAATGTTAATTACCCAAATACATATAAATGTTAACAGTGACTATTGATAATGTAGCATTACATTTGTATATACACTGTAGATTATACAGCAAACAAACAGTTTGTATTTATTTTATATATTTTTGTTTTAGCCTCGATATCAGAAAGATAAGGTGTGAGAGAAAATTAATGAGAAGAAAATGGAAAATTGGAGATGAAGATATGGCAGGGAGATAATACAGTAAGTTAAAGAGTTGCTAGCATGAGGACTTCCAGTGTCAATCTAAATGAATTAAGTTAACCAAGTCAATTATCAAATTAAAAAAATATTTATATGAAAACATATACATTTATAAATAAGTACAATAAAATTTAGTTTTACACATTTTCACTATTTTGCATATTGTTAGCTAAAATATTATTTGAATGGCATTGTAGTCCAAATAAAATGGACTAAAATGAAAGAAAGTGACATGCTAAAATACTGACTAAATTCAAACATTTTAAGCAAAAGACAAAAACAGTAAAAACACTTCATTGTGGCTCCACCATGTCTAGAGTACAGCTCTGACTCTGGCCTTAATAATAACAGGAAGTAAAACAGGAGCAGAACTGTCCCCACAGTATACGATAACTGATGCCTCTACAAATGCTTCAAGCATTGTCATGAAGTTGTTCATTTATATTACTTAAGCACACATAGATATAATTTACCTGTCAACTTCATCCCTTGCAACAATGTCACCTTTCTTCAAAGCTTTAATGGCAAACATTTCTCCAGTGGTCTTGTACTCAGCAAGTAAAACCTGTTGAATAATTAAAGGGATGAGACAATGAAACTGTCTGCAGGAGCCACATCACAAAGTGGCAGCATGTACACATAATCTGCTACTATTACATAAATGGTTAATATTAGGGATGCACCGATACCACTTTTTCCAGTACTCACCCGAAACCGATACTTTTATTTTTGGTACTTGTCGATACCGAGTACCGATATTTTTATTGCATTTGTAAATTTTTTAAATATTGGGTACAGAACCCAAAAGGGTATGTTAGTTGGCTAACTTCATTTATCAAATAGATAGTTAAACCAAATTTTATTCAGACACCTTCAACATTTCTCACATTATCACAGTTTATTCGCTATACTTTAGAAAATTATAATAAAATATGACAAGAACTCAGAGTTACACTGTGTCAGAACAAATTCATCTTGATAATGTTAGATCATTTTGATAGAAAGGTATGTAATAGATTACAATCAACCAAAATAATTCAGACAGCTGTTACTATGACAGTATTT